GATTCTGGCGCAGCCTTTTCCCGTTTCGGTGGGTCGTTGTTTAGATACTGTTTTCATAGTCAGAAGCCAGAGCTTGTAAACGGTGAATGCACGTCGCTGCTATTTCCAAGCTAAGCCCCCCGTGGTGACTGGGGGCAGGTGGGGGATGGCAGTGTGGAGGGGCAGTCGGGGGTTGCGCCTCGACTGCACCTGCTATCCCCTGCGGACTCTGGACGTCCTCGCTGTAGAGCGCGGCGGACAGGCGTCCAGCGCGAGCGCAGCAGCATCAGGAGGACATCCCGGTGACACCCCAGCACCACCCGAAGCGACCCATGACGTCAAGAAACACGCTCGGTCCTCGAAGCATTGTAGCCCTGTCGTGTTGGTCTCACGGTTCGGTTGGACATTGGCGTCTGGCTGATTTGCCTCCATCGATTTATCAAGGAAGTGTGCGCTTGATCGATCAACGGTGTGGCCGCCCATGACTTCGGATTCAGGGGACAGGTGGACCTCTCGAAATGAAAGCTGTCCTTTTTGAAGTTGAATAGGCTGTGGGGGGGTGGGGCATGTTTAGGCGAACGATTATGTTGAATAAGCGAGTAAGCACGTAGTAGTGTTATGAAGCATCCAGTGGTATTCTCTCTTCAGTCTTCAGGAGGGTGTGGCGGATTATGTGGCCCGCTTTGAAAACCCCGCGCCCCACAACGTTGACATCGCTTTGGGGAGACAGTTTTTGCTTCCGCTGATCTTCCGTGGGCTAAGCCACCCTCGCTTCACTTCCGCTGACTTCCTGACAAAGTCCAATCGACTTCGCCATATGTCGGTACAGACCATCCTCCGACATCCATTCTTGTCAAGCAGAGCGTCACCTCCCCCCGGGAGATGCCAGCCTCTCGACCGGTCACCAAGTGAGCGACGGAAGGAAACGCGCTCGACTGCGCCGACATTCGCGCGTAAGCTTGTCTCGCGTGAGGCCTCGCTCAAGCGCCCTCTTCTCCGCGCGGTGTGCCACGCTGGCGGCCCGCGTTAGCCGCCGCATAGGTTCGCTGCGTCTCCTCGCGTACGACATGTTCCCAGACATGCGACGTCCTGGTTTGTTAAAGGACGGCGTCCCCGGAAGTCCCGACCCTTTCCCCGGGACCGGTTTTTCATCCAGAGTCGGTTTCTGACGGTCCCGAGGCCTGGCGAGGGCCCCACGAGGCCGAATACGGCCGAAAACCCGCCGTCCTGATTTCTGTTGCGACGCGATCATGTCTGCAGGTTTTCCCGTCGCCGAAGCGGTGGCCTTCCGCCGGTGCCGCCCGCGAGGCTCTGCTTCCTGGGCGGCCGGGGCATCTCCTTCCTGGGCTGGCCCAGCGGCCGCTTTGCGCAGTGGCTCGACGTGTGGCCGGGGCCTCTGGGCCCAGGCGCCGAGCCGGGCCGGGAGCCTCGTGGGGGAGCGGAGGCGCAGGGCCTCTCGGAGGAGAACCCCGACTCCGGATCCGGCCTACTTTGGCTTTTTTTCCAAGTTGAAATTGCATCGGAAATCCACTTATACGAGGCCGAAGAAGTAGGGCGGAAATTTCTGCACCCAGCAAAAAGTGGGGCGGAAATCCACAGAAGTATGGCGGAAACAGCAACAGAAAAGTAGGGCGGAAATTGGCATCAGCGGGGCTTGAAAAGTACGGCGGAAATTCCAAGCCCTTACGACTTTCCCCAAAGGGCGGATCCGGAGTCAGGGAGGCGCAGGGATCTCGGAGGAGAAGAGCACACCCCCAGACGTGATCGCGTCGCAACAAAGTCAGGACATATTCAGTTTTTCGCTGTTTTCGGCCCGGGCCCCAGGACCGTCAAAAAACGACTCAGGACGAAAAACCGGCCCCGGGGAACGGGTCTGGACTTCCGGGGACGCCGTCCTTTCAAAAATCAGGGCGTCGCATGTCTGGGAGCACACCCAGATCTCCGCCTTCTGATTTTTGCTCGGCTGGCGTGCGTTCCCCCCACGATCCTCGGGCCCCCCCTGGGGCCATCGACAACGCGTCCAGGACGAACAACTATCCCTAGGGGAGGCGGCCGGGACCTCATGGGGCCGCGGATGTAGCTACCAAGAACAAAAGACGCATCGGCGGTTTTCCGGGAGCGTGCCGGTGCTGTTTCGCCCTCGGAATTTTGCGCCGCCGGGGGGGCCCGCTCCGGGCTCCGTCGTAGTGCCGTCGGAAGTCGACGCGGGGCAAGAAGCCTACCAAGATGGACCCCTGGCCCCCAGGATGGACCCCTGGACCCCAAGATGGGCCCCGGCATGGACCCCAAGATGGACCCCTGCATGGACTCCTGGATGGACCCGATGGACCCCTGGACCCCAAGATGGGCCCCGGGATGGACCCCAAGTTGGACCCCTGGACCCCAGGATGGTCCCCAGGATGAAGCCCACCGGATTTGACGGGCGTTCTTTGGTTCACGACAGGAGAACGTGCCGACGATGGCCCTCCCCCTCCCTTGTTTTCGCCTGGGGGCTCCAAGGGTTGGGTTCGCCTCTGAATCCATGTCATGACGTGCCGTGGGAGGTCCAGGGAGTGGCGGTATCGGTATCCGTTGTTCTCCCAGGGTCTGGTTTGATCTGAGTTCTGGGCAAGGTGGGTCTGGGCAAGGTGGCTCTCGCTCCTCCTACTCCTCCTCCTCCTCCTCCTCCTTCTCCTCCTCCTCCTCCTTCTCTTCCTCCTCCACCTTGTCCTCCTCCTCCTCATCCTCCTCCTTGCGGAGGAAGAGGACGACGACGACGACGTCAGTGAGGTCAGGGAGGGAGGTAGAGAGCGAGCGAGGAAGGGGTGGAAGGGGTATGGGAGGGAGGAGGAGGAGAAGGAGGAGGAGGAGGAGGAGCACGAGGAGGAGGAGGAGGAGGAGGAGGAGAAGGAGGAGGAGGAGGAGGAGGAGGAGGCGGAGGAGGAGGAGGAAGATGGAGGAGGAGAAGGGTAGAGGGAGGAGCGGGAGCAGGAGGAAGGAGGAAGGAGGCCTCCCCGAGGCAGGGGCCCCGCATTTCTGAAGCGGCCCAGGGTGTCGGGTATGCGGTCCGGCGGGCTTGGTGCCCAGGCCCTCTCGAGTCATGAGAAGTCACGCGAGAGGTGTTTCGCTATCGTCGGCTTCTGGGGGCCCTCGCTGAGCCTCGGGGCCGTCAAGGAACGACTCGAGTCATGAGAAGTCACGCGAGAGGTGTTTCGCTAATTATTGTCGGCTTCTGGGGGCCCTTGCTGAGCCTCGGGGCCGTCAAGCAGCGACTCGGGGTGCAAAGCCGGTCCCGGGGAATGGGTCGAGACCTCTCGGGGTCGGCACATGAGACACGAGACATCATGATGTCGGGAGGGGAAAAGACACACAGACACAATCAATCGTTGACTCCCAGGAAAATATTGGAAAACATGGGAAGTGGGGAGGGAAGACGAAAACCCAGAAAGTATGGAACAACCATAGTGAATCCTGGGATTTTTGTGTATCTATTTGTGTGCCCCTGGGCCCCTTCAGTCATGATGTCCGGTGTCTGGGTGCGCCGCGCCGCCGGCTCTGGCCCACCGCGCTTCGGCGCGACGCGCTGGCCACGTCCCGGTCCCCACGCGTCAACGCCCCAGGGCTGTCCCCACGCGCGCTTCAGCGTCCCCTCCGGAGCGGAGCGACGCGTCACCAGCCTGCAGGTTTTGTGGCGTGTCGCCGGGGCCCGCCGCCGCGACGCGCGGAGAGCAGGCGTGCCCGGCCGCAGAGAGAGAGAGAGAGAGAGAGAGAGAGAGAGACGGAGACGCCGCGCCCCCTGCCGAGGCGGGGAGGGCTGCGCCGAGCCGGGGGCGCCGCCGCTCGCGCGGCTGCAGGTGCAGTGCGGCGTCAACTATCTGCACGAGGTCGAGGCTCGTCGAAGACGACGAGGACGACGACTGAGACGACTGAGACGACGTCGCGGCCGTCGACGCCGACAATGACGGCGACAACGAGGCTTGTCGACGGCGGGGAGGACGACGACGACCACGAGAGGGGAGCGTGCAGTAGGCCGTAGGAGGAGGAGGAGGAGGAGGAGGAGGAGGAGGAGGAGAAGGAGGAGGAGGAGGAGGAGGAGGATGAGGAGGAGGAGGAGGAGGAGGAGTCCCGCCTGGGCAGCTTCTCGAGCCACGTCCGGCCGCGGCCTGCGTACGGAAAGGGGGTGGGGGGCAGAGGCCAAGAAACGAGGAGTAGGTCTGCTGGGGCTCGAGTCCACGAGTGGTTGCGACGAATGCGACGAGTGATCGGGTTCTCAGAGGGCCCCGAGCACGGGTGGCGCAACTTTCAGGACGTTCGGGCCGAATTCAGGACATTGAGCTGCCCCGCCCAGAATACACGCAATTAACATCATTCACAGGGCCGAGAATTCATTGAAAAAGGAGAAGGAGGGCGAAAACCAGGAGGACGGGGAGGAGGGGGACGACCCAGCCCGTGGGGAGGACGAGGGAGAAGGACCTGGAGGAGGAGGAGGAGGAGGGGGGGGGGCAGCAGCAGGCGGCGGACCAGAGGGGGAGTTTGGGAAGGAGCAGTAGGAGGAGGGTCAGCAGCAAGAGGATGGGGGAGGAGAAGGAGGAGGAGGAGGAGGAGGAGGAGGAGGAGGAGGAGGAGGACGGCGACGACGAAGGCCACGACGGCGCCTCCCTAGACGACGATCCTCGAGGAGACGGTTCTCCCTACGAGTCGACCTCCTGGAACTCTCCCGGGTATGTTTCGACAAAACGGCGGCGACGACGACGGCCGCGAAGGCGACGGCGACGTCCAGAAGCAGCAACAGGATTTGTGCAGTCCTCCAGCGTCCCAACCTGCGCGGTAGAAATTGGCTTTCAATCTAGCCCTGGCCAAGACAGTGAAACAGCCAGGACTTGGGGGTCCGGCCAACCCGTGCCAGCGGTGGAGGAGAGGGGGAGCAAAAGGGAAAAGAGGAGGAGGAGGAAGGGGAGGAGGAGGAGGAGGAGGAGGACGAGGAGGAGGAGGAGAAGGATGAGGAGGAGGAGGAGGAGGAGGAGGAGGAGGAGAAGAGGTGGAGGAGGAGGTTGAGGAGGAGGAGAAGGAGGACGGAGGGGGAGGAGGGAGCGGGGGAAGGGGCTGAGGAGCAGCGGCAGGAGGAGGACGAGGAGGAGGAGGAGGAAGGAGGAAGGAGGAAGGAGGAAGGAGGAGGAGGAGGAAGGAGGAGGAGGAGGAGGCAAGACCCCGAGCGCCTGATTGGCTGGCCCGCCCTGCCGCGGCATGGCGGGCCAGCGACTCGTGGATCTTGCGGGCCGCTTGGCCGTGCCAAGAGAACGAGGGCGCGTCGAACTCGAAGAGAACACACACACACACACACACACGCACGCACGCACGCACGCACGCACGCACGCACGCACGCACGCACGCACGCACGCACGCACGCACACACACACACACACACACACACACACACACACACACACACACACACACACAACACACACACACACACACACACACACACACACCACACACACGCACACACACACACGCACACGCACACCCACGCACACCCACACACACGCACACACACACACACGCGCACACGCACACACGCACACGCACACGCACACACACACACATACACATACACACACACGCACACACACACACACACACACGCACACACACACACACACGCACACACACACGCACACACACATGCTCACACTCACACATACACGCATACACGCATACACGCACACACACACACATACGCACATACGCACACACACACACACACGCACGCACGCACGCACGCACGCACGCACTCACGCAGGCACGCACGCACGAACGCACGCACGCACGCGCGCGCACACACACACACACACACACACGCGCACACGACGGCTGTCTCTCCCAGCATTCGTCCCCCTCGTGCTTTGTCCGCCTCCTCGTTGCCGTGGTCGCCCACTTCGCCTCTGGGCGCGCCGCTGTGTGGCCTGACGATCATAATTTCCGACTGGGCCATGGCGTTGCCTCGCACAACGCATGGGTGATGGGCAAGTTTTCCACCACCACGACCATAGGTGGGACGGGGGAGAAGGGAGGATGGGGAGGTCCTCCTCCTCCTCCTCCTCCTCCTTCTCCTCCTCCTCCTCCTCCTCCTCCCTCTCCTACCTATGGTAGTGGTTGTGGAAATGGGCCCATCAATGGGTCTCTTTTTTCCCGGCCGCGCCCTCCTCCGCTCCGCCTCCCCCTGCTGCTCCACGCATCCTCGGCGGCACGCCTCGAGAGGCAAGCTGCAGAGGCACTAGGCTTCCCTCGCGCTGCCGTGGCATGGGGGCAAAGAAGAGACGCATGACGGTGGCTCACGAGGCGTCCTCTCGAGACGACGCTGATGATCAGCGGTTCGACGCTGCCTAGGGTCAGATCGGGCCCGTCAAGAGTGGCTTGGGCGCACGCCTTTTTCCCGCAGGCCTGGCGGTGGGCACGTTGCGCATCTCACCCAGCAGCGACCACGCCCCATAAGCGACGCCTCCTCGTGGCATGAGAGGAAAGATCACGACAAAGCAACTTCAGCTTTCGGAGGCCAGGGCGGATACCTTGGATCCGCGGTGAGCCCCCTCCCTGGCGCGCGGAACGCGCCAGGAGCCAGGAGCGGCGCCGGAGGCGCCGCCAGGGGGTCCAGCGCCGATCCGAGGAATCCGCACGGAGCTTCCAGAACTTACGCGGACGTCGACGTGTCTTCCTCCATACGTACGTGGGAGAGATGACGAGGGCGAAGAGGCTGACGACGGCGATGGCGACGGCGGTGGTCCAATCGCCGGGGCTGGGCCGCATCGTCCCTTTCATGGCCGGTGTTTGCTGTGCTCGCACGACCGCCTGGATCTACAGCCAAGGCGCTGACACAAGGTCCGTTTGGGGTTCGGAGTGGGCTGCTGCTCCTTGGGTCGTTCCGTGGTGGTTCCTCCAGCCCTCCTCGTGCACCCTGGCGCTGTTGGCGCCAATGAGGGGCTTCGTGTCTTCTTTTAGCGTTCCTTCTTTCAGCAGCCCCTCTGTGGTGCTGCAGTGTTTCACGGCGACGGCGGCGACGGCGGTGGCGGCAGTGACGAGGCGGGCCCCGAAGCCCACGGGGCGACGCTCCTGGCGCTGTCGGGGAGCCACCAGCGGGGCAACCTCTGCGACGAGCTGGTGCGGCTGGACCTGAGCCAGGCGCGGCAGGCCCCGGCAACGAGCCACGAGCTTGTATATTAATGATGGTGATGCTGATGATGAAGGTGAGGATGATGATGATGATGATGATGATGATGACGATGATGATGATGACGATGATGATGATGATGATGATGATGATGGTGGTGATGATGATGAAATGGTGATGATGATGCTGATGTTAATTATGATTGTCATGATGATGGCGGTGGTGATGATGATGGTGATGGTGATGCTTATGATGATGAGGATCATGAGCATGATCATGATCACGATCATGATGATGTTGCTGCTGATGTTTATGATGATGATGATGATGGTGGCGATGCTGATGATGGTAATGATGTTGATGATGATGATGAT